CCTACATCTAGCACTTAGTGTAGCAGCACACAGTGGGTGCTGAATTAATGAATTCATAAACTTGCCACACCTATTAAAGCCTCAATATAAATGGCAAAATGTGGCAACGCTCTCCATTTATTTATTTTGTTGTTTTTTTTTTTTTTTTAGACAGAGTCTCACCGCACCTGGCCCAAGGTGATTGATCCCCATTTTGCAGATGAGGCTACAAGAGGGGCAGAGAGGTCAAGTCATTTGCCTGAGGCCACCCAGCTGGCTGGGATTTGAACCAGGCATGCTGACTTCACTAGCCTAGGTGCTCCCCTGAATAAGAGAGCAGAGACAGGCATGGGAAGAATTGGGTAGAGAGAAGGGAATTGGGGCTGAGAAGGAGGGAAACACAGTCAGGGAGGGGACAGAGAAGGGGGACAGCAAGATGCACCCCCAGGGCTGGGTGCGGTGGCTCACGCGTGTAATCCCAGCACTTTGGGAGGCTGAGGCGGGTGGATCACTTGAGGCCAGGAGTTCGAGACCAGCCTGGCCAACATGGTGAAACCCCGTCTGTACCTAACAATACAAAAACTCGCTGGGCGTGGTGGCGGGTGTCTGTAATCCCAGCTACTCAGGAGACTGAGGCAGGAGAATCGCTTGAACCCAGGAGGTGGAGGTTGCCGTGAGCTGAGATCGCACCCACTGCACTCCAGCCTGGGTGACAAGAATGGAAACTATGTCTCAACAAAAAGAAAAAGAAGGATGCGCCCTGGGCCCGCAGCTGGCACACCTGTTGAGGAAGGTGTTTCCGAAGGGGTTGAGTTTGCGGAAGGGCTTCTCTGGGTCCACGACGAGGGCGTTGCCGGGCACGGTGCCCTCAGTGTCCCCATGCATGACAGCCACAAAGCAGTCGGTGGTGGGCTCAGGCCCCACGCGGGAGCCGGGCACCTCCTGCTCCAGCAGGTACTGGATGAAGCTGGTCTTGCCCGTGCTGTACTGGCCAGCCACCAGCACCATGGGCTTGCCGTCGAAGTCTGCGTCCTCCAGGGCCGGCGAGTGGAAGGCCCCGAAGCGGTAGTGCTCCTCCAGCGGCAGCAGCTTCGTGCGGTACAGCTCCTTGAGGGCCGAGGTCACTGTGCGGATGGCCTCGGGCTGCTGGCCCCGTGCCCCGCCCCGCTTCAGCCAGCTGAACATGGTGGCGGCACACTGCCCACTGGGTTCACGGAGAGACGTGCAGATGGAGAGCTGCCTGTGGGATGGGGAGAGGGCATGAGCATGGGCGGCCTGGCCAAGGAGGAAGAAAGGGGTCTGAGTGTAGACTGTCTGGGTGGCAGGATGGGTGGAGAAGGAGGAGGAGCACAGATATTTGTGGTCACAAATATGTGGTCACAGAGCATGGATGGCGGGTGGCAGGAGGAAGAATGGAATTGGGATAGGCACGATGGTTCACGCCTGTAATCCTAGTATTTTGGGAGGCCGAGGCAGGAGGATTGCTTGAGGTCAGTAGCTCAAGAACAGCCTGGGTAAAATAGTGAGACCCCCATCTCTACAAAAAAAAATAATTAGCTGGGCATGGTGGTACATGCCTGTAGTCCCAGCACTTTGGGAGGCTGAGAAAGGAGGATTGCTTGAGCTCAGGAGTTCAAGGCTACAGTGAGCTATGATCATGCCACTGCACTCCAGCCTGGGCTACAGAGCAAGACCCCATCTCAAAAAACAAACAAACAAACAAACAAACAAAACCTGGGTGCAGTGGCTCATGCCTGTAATCCCAGCACTTTGGGAGGCCAAGGCAGGTGGATCACCTGAGGTCAGAAGTTTGAGACCAGCCTGCCCAATATGGTGAAACCCTGTCTCTACTAAACATATAAAAAATTAGCCAGGCATGGTGGTGGCCACCTGTAATCCCAGCTACTCAGGAGGCTGAGACAGGAGAATCACTTGAACCCGGGAGGCGGAGGTTGCAGTGAGCCAAGATCCCACCACTGCACTCAACAGAGTATGACTCCATCTCAAAAAAACAAAAAAAAACAAAAAAAAAAAACAAAAAAAAAGAGAGATGATAGTGAACCAGCTGAAGGAAGAGAAAGAAGAAAGAGTAATGGTGACATGGTTAAAGAAGGGGGATTGATGGTAGTAATGGAAAACCAAGAGATGGACAAGGCGAAGGATACAGAAGCTGCCTGGAAGAAACGGATTCCTTAATCACTTCATTCATTTCTTCCTCCCTTCACCCTTCCATCATTTGACACGTTTTCACTGAAATCACTCACTCCATGCTTCAGGCACTGTGGACCCAGAAACCAGTCAGAGATCATCCCTCACCCACCCAGAGCCTCTAATGAGGACCTAGACACAAGCCAGACATCCAGAGGAGGGTGTGAGAAAGCGACCACAGCACTAGTAAGACTCAGGGCAGGGCTGACTTTTCAGCTGCTCCATGAAGAGCAGGCAAGACAAGGGGATTTAGGCAGAGAGGACAGTGCATGCAAAGGTCTGGGGGTGTGAGAGGTCCTGGTGTGTTGGGAGCCATGAAATATCTGGGTGGTTGACACAGGGGCACAAAGAGGAGGGTTGAGAAATGGAGCTGAGAAGGTTGCCTGGGTGTACCCAGGTCATGAGGGCTGTTGAGTGTTAAGAAAAATGATGCAACATTTATGATCACTGCATGCCAGGCACTGTACTAACTCACTTAACCTTCATAACCCTGTAAAGTAGGTCTATTACCATCCCTGCTTTTCCTTCTGTCTTTTTTTTTTTTTTTTTTTTTTGGAGATGGAGTCTCACTCTGTAGCCCAAGCTGGAGTGCAGTGGCACAATCTCGGCTCACTGCAACCTTTACCTCTGCGGCTCAAGAGATTCTCCTGCCTCAGCCTCCCAAGTAGTTGGGACTAGAGGCATGTGCCACCACACCCAGTTAAATTTTTTTTTTGTATTTTTAGTAGAGACAGAGTTTCACTGTGTTGCCCTGGGTAGTCCCAAACTCCTGAGCTCAGGTGATCCACCCACCTCGGCCTCCCAAAGTGTTGAGATTACAGGTGTGTGCCACCATGCTGGCTCATCTCTGTTTTGTTTTGTTTTTTTTTTTTTGAGACCGAGTCTCACTCTGTCACCCAGGCTGCAGGTTGGAGTGCAGTGGCGCCATCTCGGCTCACTGCAAGCTCCGCCTCCCAGGTTCATGCCATTCTCCTGCCTCAGCCTCCTGAGTAGCTGGGACTACAGGCGGCCACCACCACACCTGGCTAACTTTTTGTATTTTCAGTAGAGACGGGGTTTCACCATGTTAACCAGGATGGTCTCGATCTCCTGACCTCGTGATCCGCCCACCTCGGCCTCCCAAAGTGCTGGGATTAAAGGCATGAGCCACCATGCCCGGCCTCAGCTCTGCTTTTTTAACAAGGCAAAGGAGGCTCAGCAACAAGGCAAAGGAAGACAGCAATAAATTACCCAAGATCACTTAGCTAGAAAATGCTCAAGCTGGGACTCAAACCCAGGCAACCTGACCTCAGAGCTTGCAATCCTATCATAGGTCTAAAGATCTGAGTTAGGGAGGTTAACCATGACCAATCCAGGAGCAATGAGCACCTCCAGCACCCAGACTGTGTTCTCTATCTTCCCTTACTATCCTTTTATTTACCGTAGGATCTGTAGTGATGTCCCCCTCTTTCATTTCTGATACCAGCCATATGTGTGTGTCTTAACTTTTATTAAAAAAGAAAAACAAAAACGATTGGTCCCGTTGATGCTTATGATTTTACTGATCTTTTCAAAGAATGAATTTTTGGTAAGATAGGAGTCTCTAAATACCGTTCCCCACTAAAAGAACCTGGGACTCCTTAGAGAAATGGTGGATTCCAGGGCTGGGGCAGGGAAGAACAAGTGAGCCTGGGTCAGACGGTGAGGAAGTGCTCAAAGGCGGATTGGGCATGTTACAGGAACAGAGGACCCAGCTTGCAGGGGTGGCCAATGGCCAAAAATGGAGCAATTTGAGCATCAAAATAACTGCAGATCAAATATGCTAAAATCCATAAAATCATGAGACTTTTAAAAGGGGTGGCGAGGGGGTGGGGGAGATAAAAGGAAAGGGAGTTTGTGAAGGAGTGGCAGGAGCGGAAAAGAGAGGCAGGATCTGGGAGGTGGGCAGAGGGAGAGGGCTCTGGGCAGTGTCCCAGGCAGGGAGGGCCCTGAGAGAGAGTTGGGGAGAATGCCATCAGCAGTGGCCGATGGAGCTGGTGAGGCAGGAGAGGGGCTCTTGGGTGGCTGGAGGGGCCAAGTTAGCCGATATGGATGAGGGCCTGGATGGAGACCCTGCCCAGAGGATCTCTAGCCAGGGGATAGGGAGGGGTGTTGGGGGAGGATGGAGGAGATTAGGGGAGTGGGAGAGGCTGCGGAAGAGTGAGGGGACTGGGGGAGTGGGGGACATGGTTACAGACTGGGGGGACTGGTGAAGACTGGGAGGGATTGGGGAACACCTGGGGAGACCGTTACAGACTGGGGACAGGGTGGCGGGGAGCAGGGATCAGACATGGGGAACCAGGGCAGGCTCGGGCTGGGGTCGTGAGGCGACAGCTGCGGTGCTGGGAGCACTCACCGACGGGGCGCGCTGGCGGCTGCAGCGGGCTGGGCAGGCTGGGCGGGGGTGGGGTCCCGCAGGGATCCGAGGCGCCCGCGGAGCGGCCTGTGCTCGCGGTCCCGTCCGGAGCCGTCTGAGCCGGGTGGGGCCCGGAGCGGGGAGGACGGGAGGGAGGACAGGAGGGAGGGGCGGGACGAGGAGCCCCCCTCAAAACCGGGCGCCCGGCCTCTGGCGCCCCCTTGTGGGGAGTGGGGAAGACGCCTTAGCACCGCGGGCGAGAGCTCCAGCGTCCAGCCTGGGATTCGAATTCCACCTCCACATCCGGCGTTGGGCTGCTCCCCAATCCGTCTCTCTTCTTAACACGGGAATCACAACAGCAGCAGCAATAAGAGTAACAATAACTTAGGTCGGGCGCCCTGGCTCACGCCTGTAATCCTAACACTTTGGAAGGCCAAGGTGGGAAGATTGCTTGAGGCCAGGAGTCCAAGACCAGCCTGGGCAACGTAGCAAGACCCCATGTCTATTAAAAATAATAATAAATAATAAAATAATTTAGCCAGGCACAGGAGTGCACACCTGTAATCCCAACAACTTGGAAGGCTGAGGTGGGAGGATTGCTTGAACCCAGGAGGTCGAGGCTGCACTGAGCTAGGATTGTGCCACTGCACTCCAGCCTGGGTGACAGAGCGAGACCTCACCTCTAAAAAAAAATTATAGGACCGGGCACGGTCCTATAATTACACGCCTGTAATCCCAACACTTTGGGAGGCGAGACAGGTGGATCACTTGAGGTCAGGAGTTCAAGACTAGCCTGGCCAACATGGTGCAAACCCATCTCTACTAAAAATACATGGGAGGCTGAGGCCGGCAGATTACAAGGTCAGGAGATCGAGATCATCCTGGCTAACACGATGAAACCCCGTCTCTACTAAAAATACAAAAAATTAGCCGGGTGTGGTGGCAGGTGCCTGTAGTCCCAGCTACTTGGGAAGCTGAGGCAGGAGAATCACTTAAACACAGGGGAGGCGGAGCTTACAGTGAGCGGAGATTGTGCCACTGCACTCCAGCCTGGTTGACAGAGCAAGACTCCATCTCAATAAATAAATAAATAAATAAATAAATAAAATACAAAAATTAGCTGGGTGCAGTGGCACGTGCCTGTAGTCCTAGCTACTTGGGAGGCTGAGGCAGGAGAATCACTGGAACCCAGGAGGCAGAGGTTGCAGTGAGCCAAGATCACATCACTGCATTCTAGCCTGGGCGACAGAGTGAGACTCCATCTCCAATAAATAAACAAATAAAAATAGTATTACTTTTAAAACTTAAGGGAGTTCATGAAACTTCTCGGCTAACAACCCTCCCTGGCTCTCCTCTCTCTCAGAGTAAAAGCCAAAGTCCCCACCAAGGCCCACAAAGCCTAGCATGATCCACCTACATCTCCCCTGTCCCCTTTCATCAGGCGACTCCAGCCACCGTGGCCTCCTCACCGTTCCTCAGACACACCCACAACCCTCCAGATTCACAGCCTTTGCACTTGCTGACCCCTCTCCGTGGAGTACTTTCCCCATAGGGATCTGAATACCTCACTCTCTCCCCTTCTTCAGGTCCCTCCTCAAATGTCACCTCCTCAGAGAAGCCCTCCAGGATCGCCCCGCCTAAGGTAGAACCCACTCTCTACCTCTAATCACTGCCCTATTTTTCTCCACAGCCCTTCCAACCACTCTGCATATTCCACATTTCTCTGCCTAAGGGAATGTCTTCGCCTGGAGAACATGAGCCCCATGAGGGCTTTGCACAATGCCCAACTCACTGCAGGGGCTCAGTAAACATTTGTAGAAACAATCCCTAATGTTGATTAAGCCATTCCTACGTGCAGGTGTCACTCTGAGCTCTTTGCATGCATGTATTAGCTCATCGAACCCTCATAATATCTCCAAGAAACAGGAGTCTTGGGTTTTTTTATTTTCTTTTGTTTTTGAGATCGTCTCACTCTATCACCCAGGCTGGAGTGCAGTGGCATGATCTCGGCTCACTGCAACCTCCACCTCCCAGGTTCAAACTATTCTCCTGCCTCAACCTCCCGAGTAGCTGGGATTACAGGTGCCCGCCACCATACTCGGTTAATTTTTGTATTTTTAGTAGACATGTGGTTTCACCATGTTGGCCAGGCTCATCTCAAACTTCTGACGTCAAGTGATTTACCCACCTCAGCTTCCCAAAGTGCTGGGATTATAGGCATGAGCCACCGTGCCCAACAGAATTGTATGCTTTAAATGGGTGAATTGCATGGCTTCTGAATTATATCTCAATAGAAGTGATATTATATATATTATATTATTATAATATAATTATAGCATATTATTTCTTTTTTCTTTTTTTTCTTTTTGGACACAGACTCTTACTCTGTTGCCCAGGCTGGAGTGCAGTGGTGCGATCTCGGCTCACTGCAACCTCTGCTTCCCGGGCTCAAGCGATTCTCGTGCCTCAGCCTCCCGAGTAGTTGGGATTGCAGGCGTGCACCACCACACCCAGCCAATAACCTATTACTATAATATTACTATTATATATATAATATATAAAAGGTCTGGAGCTTAATGATGACTTATGTTACTGTTGCTACTGCTAGGAGACAGGCCCTGTTCCAAAAGCATCACCTAAATCATCTGCCTTCCCCAGGAGGGCAAGTGCTGTTATTATTATTATTATTATTATTCCTATGTCTCAGATGGGAAAGTTGAGGTACAAGGAAGTAGAGTCTCAGAGCTGGGTGCAGCGGCTCATGCCTATAATCCCAGCACTTCGGGAGGCTGAGGCAGGGGATTGCTTGAGGCTAGGGGTTCAAGACCAGCCTGGGCAACATAGTGAGACCCTATCTCTGCAAGATAAAAAAAATCTAAAACTTAGCCGAGTGTGGTGGTGCACACCTGTGGTCCCAGCTACTCGGGAGGCTGAGGTGGGAGGATCACTGGAGCCTAGGAGGCTGAGGCTGCAGTGAGCTGTGATGGCGCCACTGCACTCTAGCCTGGGTGACAGAACAAGACCCTGTCTCAAACAAACAAACAAAAAAAAGTAGAGTTTGGCCTGCCAAGGTGTGGAAGAACTCGGAGTTGAGCCAGAGTTGTCTGACGGGAGAGTCTTGTTTCGCTTCTACCCCAGGACTTCTCAACCTGTTGCAAAGCATTCCAGAGGATCGGCTGGGCGCGGTGGTTCACGCCTGTAATCCCAGCACTTTGGGAGGCCGAGATGGGGAGATCATTCGGTCAAGAGATCGAGACCATCCTGGCTAACACGGTGAAACCCCCTCTACTAAAAATACAAAAAATTAACTGGGCGTGGTGGCGGGTGCCTGTAATCCCAGCTACTTGGGAGGCTGAGGCAGGAGAATGGCGTGAACCCAGGATCTGGGCGTAGGTTTGGGCGGAGTGCTGTATCCAGCTACTTGGTGAGGGCTGCGGCCAGGAACGAATGGCCGGTGAACCCAGGGTTGGGGAGCTTGCGTGAGCTGAGATCGTTCCAACGGCCATCTCAGCCTGGGCAACAGGAGCGCGGACTGTGTCTCGGAACAACAAAAACAAACAAAAAAAGACATTCCAGGAGGATCTGTGGTCTTAGATGGGGGTGAAGCGGAAGATTCTGGAGGTTTTTTCTGAAATTCCAGTTTCTGTCACCACAAATATGACGAGCAAAGAGCGCAGTGGCATCTAGGTACGACCGTGTCCACCGCCCACCCAGGGAATCACTGATTGGCGTAGTTCATCAGTTGGCAGTTGTGGATTTTTTTTTTTTTTTGGGAAACTAGAGAGCTCCCGTCTGTTGCCCAGCGTGCGCGGGTGAGCTCTCGGCTCACTGCAAACTCCGCCCCCGGGTTCAAGCGGTTTCTCCTGCCTCAGCTCCCCGTAGCTGGGGACCACAGGCTGCCACGACAAGCCCGGCTATTTTTTGTCTTTTTTAGTAGGAGACGGGGTTTCAACGTTGCTTGCCCAGGTGGTCTCGGCAACTCCTGAGCTGCAGGTCAATTCACCGCCTTGGGCCTCAAAGTGCACTAGGATTACAGGGCATGTGCCATCGCGCCCGGTCCAGTTGTGGATATTTTCGCGACTTATACGTCATCGTCACGGGCCCAACGCAGCTCTTCTCTAGTGAATTGCAACTGGATGCAGGCTGGTACCCAGTGGCCCAGCCTGCTTTTTGTTTACTAGGTGAGTTCCTCACTGCATGCTGTGTGTTTATTATTGTTCGATGTGGGGGTGCTGGAGGCCCGCGGTCCCCTGTTTTAGCAAGTTTAGTCACTTCTGTTCTTCCGCTCTGCCTGCAGGCAGTCAGGCTCAGGAAACTGCACGTCCCAGAGGCCATGGACTCTCGCTGCGCATGCGGAGTCTTTGTGTAGTAATAGGGGGGTTTTCAGGCGTATCTCTGAGAGTTTTGTGGAGCAAGGAAATGTTAAGACAATTGGCCATTTAGGTAGGGCAGTGGCTCAACATTGTATCCCAGCACCTTTGGAGGCCAAGGGAGGTGGTCGCTTGAGCCCAGGCGTTTCAAACCAGGCCTGCTGGGCAAATATGGGTAAACCCGTCTGCTACCAAATAATGCTCAAAAAAATTACATCAGAGCATGGTGAGTGCAACACCTGTAATTCCCAGATACACTTGGGAAAAGAGGCTGAGGCAGGAGGAATGGCTAGAACCGGTTTGAGGGAGGGGTTGCAGTGGACCAAGTTGTCACTGCACTCGCGCCTGGGCAACACAGCGAGACATCTAAAACACAATTTTGATTTTTTTTACAAGAATACAGCTCGTTTTACCCTAGTAGGGCTTTATTTTGCATGTGGAGGGGTACGTTCTGAGCTAGGAGAAGGGGGATGGTCCTCCTCTGAGACCAGAAATCATTTCTCACCACACCACCAAGGGGGCCCACTGCCATGGTCACGCCTGTAATCCCACCGCTTTGGGAGTGCGGATGTGGGAGGACTGCTATAGGACCCGGAGCCGCCTGTCTCTACGCGAACAGGATAAGAAAGGTAAACATAAGCAATTAGACAGGCGAAAATGGGGTATGCACCTATTCAGGAGGCTGTGGGCAGGATGAGATCCTTTGCCCCAGGAGTTCGAGGCTTTAGGTGGCTATGATACACCCTGGCACTCAGCCTGGGTGGCCCAAGTGAGATGTTCTCTCTCTCTGCGTTCGCTTTACAGACAAGGTCTGGGCTCT